CATGTTTGATCCCTGACACTGAATTTAATCCCCTGAGCCTGCCAGGAGTGACCCTTGAGCCAGAGCCGGGAGTAAGCCCTGAGCACCACTAGAAGTGTCCCCAAAACCAGATTTAAATAAATGTGAGTGAAAAGTGTGAGTCCTCCAACTTGTTGCTCTTGTTCAAGACCAAATCTCAGTCTTTGCATGCAGAAGGCCTGGGTTTCGTCTCTGTCACTGCATGGTGCCCAGAGCGCCTCTAGGAGGCACCTCTGAGCATCTGTCTCAAAGAGCGATCTCTGAGCACTGCACCGGGAAAAGCCCCTGAACACCTCCAACTGTGGCCCCAAACTAACCCCCCCACACACACCATACTCATACACATACATACACCACACACACACACACACACACACACACGCACACACACGCACACACACAAGAAAAAAGAGAAAATGAAGTTATTTTTGGCTTTTTTGGGGGCGGGGGAGGTGTTGTTGGGTCACACCCAGTATTGCTCAGAGCTTACTCCTGGCTCTGCACTCAGGAATCCTCCTGGTCGTGCTCAGGGACCATATGGGATGCTGGGAATTGAACCCCGGTTGGCTGTGTGTAAGGCAAGCGCCTTACCCTCTGTGCTATCTCTCTGGCCCCCCCAAAAGGACTGCTTTATCTATTCACAGTCCCATGTAAGTGCATATAAATTTTAGGGTTTCGTCTCTGTCATTTCTGTCAGAAAACCCAGATTTTACTTTTGAGCATGGCAACAGGGGGCATATTCAAAAATTTTGGTAGTAACTGTTTTGTTTTGTTTCTTGCAATGCCAAGGATCAAACCCAGGGCTTCACATACTTAAGGCGTGCGCTGTATCACTGGGACACACCCACAGGCTGAACCAATATTAGCAGACTCAGAATCTTTCCCGGTCTTCCCTAGAGGTTATATCCAGAATTATCTGCCATTTGGATCTATCTTTAATCTAGATCCTCAGTACAAAGTTCAGGAAAGAGAATTTTACCAACCCTGGGATTCCTTTCTCCATGATCCCAACTCCTAGAAAGTTCCCAGGGGCTGAGAATGTGGTTTAAGTGGTAGAGAAAGCTCTTATAGTCTCGTCTTTTTTTTTTTTCCCCTCTCTCCTTTTTTTGATTTTTGGACCACACCTGGCAGTGTTCAGGGTTTACTCCTGGCTCTGTGCTCAGGGATCACTGCTGATAGACTCAGGGAACCATATTCAGTGTCAGGGATCAAACCTGGGTTTACTGCATACAAGCAAATGCCCGACCCGCTATACTATCATTCTGGTTCCTCATAGTCTAATCTTGTTTTGTTCTTGTTTTCGGGTCACACCTGGAGATGCTAAGGGGTTACTCCTGGCTCTGCACTCAGGAATCACTCTCAGCAGTGCTCAGGGTACCATATGGCATGTGGGGGGGTCAAACCCAGGCCAGCCACATGTAAGGCAAGCAATTTATCTGCTGTGCTCTTATTGCTCCAGACTTCGTGGCCTAGTCTCTTGTATTTTAATTTTAATTTTAAGGAAAGAAATTTTTATTTTTTTAATCAGCCAATATGTGATATTCTTATGGCAGTCCTAGCAAATTAATACACACTGCCTTAATTTTAGTCATTTTAGTTTGGTCTATTTTATTTTTTAACTTTTTTAATTAATTTCTTTTTTCTTTGGATTTTTGGGTCACACCCAGTGATGCACAGGGGTTACTCCTGGCTCTGCACTCAGGAATGACTCCTGGCGGTGCTCAGGGGACCATATGGGATGCTGGGAATCGAACCCAGGTTGGCTGCATGCAAGGCAGACGCCCTATCCGCTGTGCTATCGCTCCAGCCCCAAGCTTGGTATATTTTAGACATATGCCAAAATGGACAGGGCTGGAGCGATAGCACAGTGGGTAGGGTGTTTGCCTTGCATGCGGCTGACCCGGGTTCGATTCCTCCGTCCCTCTCGGAGAGCCCGGCAAGCTACCCAGAGTATCCCGCCCGCACTGCAGAGCCTGGTAAGCTCCCTGTGGTGTATTCAATATGCCAAAAACAGTAACAACAAGTCTCACAATGGAGACGTTACTGGTGCCCGCTGGAGCAAATTGATGAACAACGGAGGACAGTGCGACAGTGCTACAGATATTTTAGACATACTGATATAAGGAAGCTTATGTTGTCATGCCAGCGTCTAAGGTCTCAGAAGTCACTAATCTCTTTCAGGTACATGGTCAAGTCTTGATTTTTTTTTTTTTTGGCCTTTTGGGTCACACCTGGTGATGCACAGGGGCTACTCCTGGCTCTGCACTCAGGAGTTACTCCTGGCGGTGCTCAGGGGACCATATGGGATGCAGGGAATCAAACCCGGGTTGGCCGCGTGCAAGGCAAACGCCCTACCCGCTGTGCTATTGCTCCAACCCCCCGAGTCTTGATTCTTCTTGCTACGTCAATCAAGAACACCGCACCCATAGGGCCCGCAAGACAGTAGAGCAAGGGACCAGAGTAGTAGTACCGTGGGAAGGGCCTTTGCCTCGCATGTGGCCGACCTGGATTCCATCCCTGGCACCGCTTAGGGTTCCTTGAATATGCCAGAAGCAGAGAGCCAGGAATAAGCCCTTAGTACCACTGGGTCTGACTCAGAAGCCAAGACAATAATAACAGTAATAATAATAATGATGAGGTGAGATAATAGAGGAGGCAGGGTGTTTGCCTAGCATGCAGCCAACCCGGATTTGATTCTAAGCACCTCCAGGAGTGGTCCCTGAGCACAGCTGGGTGTGACCGACCCCCTTAAAATAAACTAGCTCACCCTTTCCTGCCTCTGCCTTCCACACCCTCACCTCTAGCCTTCTTGTTTTCTTCGACTGGCTTTTGGGTCACACCCAGCTGTGCTCAGGACATACTCTTGGCATTCTGCTCAGGGTTCACTCCCGGCCGTAGGGGATGCTGGAGATTGAGCTCGGGTCAGCAAGCACCCACCCCCTGTGCTATCTCTGGGGACCAGACTCTCTTATTTTATTCCCCTCCCCCCTTTATTTAAATAATGTGGTTTACAAAGTTGTTCACGATGCATTTGTTACAGGCAGTCAATATTCAAACACCAATCCCACTGCCAGTGTGACCTTCCCTCCACCAGTGGAGGGAATTTCCCCAACGACTTCACAGTCCTGACCCCTTACCAGGCACAAAATAATTTATTTTATACTGCTTGTTACAACTAATAGCTAATACAACTAATTATCCCACCATTAAATAGAGTCAGAGCTCTGCAGGGAACCCAAAGGCTGACAATTCCAGTCCACCCGTCTCCAGGCGGGTATTTATTTTATAATTATAATAAAAAATAATAAAAAAAACTCCAGTGGAGTTCATGCCCAATTCAATCAGCCTAATCAATGACTGAATAAATAGCAATACTCCTACATTTAAAAAAAAATCTCCAGGGGCTGGAGCGATAGCACAGCAGGTAGGGCGTTTGCCTTACACGCGGCCAACCCAGGTTCGATTCCCAGCATCCCATATGGTCCCTTGAGCACCGCCAGGGGTAACTCCTGAGCGCAGAGCCAGGAGTGACCCCTGTGCATCGCCAGGTGTGACCCAAAAAGCAAAACAAACAAACAAACAAAAAACTCCAGTAAAGAAAATTTGTGAAAACGTTTATCTCTCACTCTAGGGTCATGAAGTCCTTGTCACTAAGCTCTTGTTGCTACTGAGTCTTCTGTGTTAATGGTTTTGTGTGTTGGGCTTAGTTGTCTTCTATGTTACTTTTCCACCGAATTTGGTGTGCTCCTACTGAGATGTCAGTAATTGGAGAGTTTGGAGATGTTGCAGGCCAGTGAACTGTGCACTCCAGAAGCTCCAGAATATTTAACTGGGCCGTGAGTTTGCATGTAGGTGGTTGTGGGGGACGGGGGAGGCTGCCGGGGCTCCTGAAAGTACAGGGAGTTGGGGGAGGTGGCCCACCCCCACTCCAAGAAGGCCTCACAGTTCTTAGCCTGCAGTCCGGGGTTCCTGGAATTTTGTGCAGTTTGGCATCTCTGCAGAACTCGGTTTCAAGGCAGTGAAATTGGGCTCCTGGCATGGTGGCAGCTGTGGCGGGCGAATGGGACTTTGGCAGGACAGAGACTTGGCTCCCCGCACTCCTGAGGGTGCCCCAGAATTTTCAGCCAGGAGATCAGTGGTTTTCTGTGGCTTGTTGACCTCTTCCGAGATCTACTTGTGATTGTGAATCTGTAAAGCTGGGCCCATGGACGAGCTTTCATGGCGGCAGTTGTGGGCTGTGGGTGTGGCTGCCGGGGCTTTTGGAGGTACTGGGTCAGGGGGATGGTCGCCCACCCCCACTCTGAGAAGACCCCAGAGTTCTCAGCCTGGAGACGGGTGGACTGGGATTGTCAGCCTTTGGCTTCCCTGCAGAGCTCTGACTCTATTTAATGGTGGGAGGGGGTGTTGACCCACGTCTGGCTGTGCTCAGGGCTTCCTCCTGGCTCGGTGCTCAGGGAACCACATCTGGTGCCAGGGGTTGGAACTGTGGTCTGCCCCATGCAAGGCAAGTGCCTTCGTCTTGTGCGAGCTCTCTGGCCCCTTCAGACTCTCGGTTGGGCTGTCTTGCCTCTCCTGGCCTTGGGAACTCTGCACACAGAAGGAGCAGGTCTGCCTAGCTAGGGCCTCTAGCCCGGCCTGACGCTTGCCCCTTCCCGTCTTATTGAGGGAACTGCGAATCCACAAGGGAAGCGGAACTGCTCGTTTTGCTTTTCGTTTGACTTCCCCCCCCCCCCCCCCCCCAGCGCTAGAGATCAAACCCAGGACCCTGTGGCTGCCAGCGGGTAACTCTGCTGCTGAGCTAAATTCCCTGGTCCCTGGAGTGGAGTTCTGAGACTGACAGGCACAGGCTGAGTTTTGAGAACTGAGATCTGGGGCCGGAGGGGTGGGTTTTCCCCTAAAAAACCCTTTAATTCCTCTTGCAGGTTACGATGGCCTCCTCCGTGGTCCTTTTTTTCCTGCTGGCCCTGGGCAGGGGTGTGAGTGAGATGGGCTTCAAGGGCTCCTCCCCAGGGGCCGTCACCGAATGGGGGAGCCCCGATGGGTCCCTGCTGGAGTCCTGCCGGCCAGCCTCTTCCTGTAAGAAGTGCATCCTCTCGCACCCAAGCTGCGCCTGGTGTAAGCAACTGGTAATGAGGGCCTGTGGCCTTTGAACTACATGTGTGTGGGGGGGGGGTATATGTTATAGATGCAGTTATACATTAAGTTATACACTATCTGTGACTACTTGGGCACGTGGGTGACATCCTCTGTGTGCACAGGATTCGGGGGAGCACCGTAGCACTGTTCTCCCGTTGTTCATCGATTTGCTCGAGCGGGCACCAGTAACATCTCCATTGTGAGACTTGTTACTGTTTTTGGCGTACCGAATACGTCCGGAAGCCTTCCAGGCTCTGCCAAGTGGGCGGGATACTCTCGGTAGCTTGCCGGGCTCTCCGAGAGGGGCGGAGGAATCGAACCCAGGTCAGCCATGTGCAAGGCAAACGCCCTACCCGCTGTGCTATCTCTCCAGCCCTGGGATTCGGGGTCTGACTGTGCAAATGTGTGTGTGCACTCACGCCTGTCTCCCACATGTGTAAGGTGTGTCTGTAACAGGGGTGAGAGCTGGAACTGTGAACTTGGAGGAAGGGTGTCATTGTTGGAGCTCAGGTTTCTGTGTGGGGTAGAGGGAGCTGGAGGTGTGTGTCTGTGGGGAGCGTGTTTCTGATGTGAGAAAGTAAACTTGTCAGCTTGGGCTGCCATAAAGAAATGCCATGACTGGAGGGCGAGGGGCTCTAGAGATGGCATCGTGGGTAGGGTGCTTGCCTTGCTCGTGTTCACCTGGGCTCACCTGGGTTTCAAGCACACCACCTATGACCCCTGAGCACCACCAGGAGTATTCCTGAGTGCAGAGCCAGGAGTAAGCCCTGAGCATTACTGGGTGTGGCCCTCAAACAAAAAACAAACTGATAATAATAATAAAAAAATACACCACCCTTCTAAATCATGGACTGGGCGACTTAATCAATAGGGACTTTTCTCTTAAAGTTCTAGAGGCTGGGAAGTTGATTCTATTACTGGTGAGAGCTTTCTTTCAGGTTTGCAGGCAGTCTACAAATAAATTCTTGGCTCTCATGCTTTCTTTCTTTCTTTCTTTCTTTCTTTCTCTTTCTTTATCTCTCCTTTCTTTCTTCCCTCCCTCCCCCTCCTCTTTCTTTCTTTCTTTCTTTCTCTCTCTATTTTTTTTTTTTTTTTTTGCTTTTTGGGTCACACCTGGCGATGCACAGGGGTTACTCCTGGCTCTGCACTCAGGAGTTACTCCTGGCGGTGCTCAAGGGACCATATGGATGCTGGGAATCGAACCCGGGTCTGCCACGTGCAAGGCAAACACCCTACCCGCTGTGGTATCTCTCCAGCCCCTCTTTCTTCCTTTCTTTCTTCCTTCCTTTCTTTCTTTCTTTCTTTCTCTCTCTATTTTTTTTTTTTTTTTGCTTTTTGGGTCACACCTGGCGATGCACAGGGGTTACTCCTGGCTCTGCACTCAGGAGTTACTCCTGGCGGTGCTCAAGGGACCACATGGATGCTGGGAATCGAACCCGGGTCTGCCACGTGCAAGGCAAACGCCCTACCCGCTGTGCTATCTCTCCAGCCCCTCTTTCTTCCTTTCTTCCTTTCTTTCTTTCTTTCTTTCTTTCTTTCTTTCTTTCTTTCTTTCTTGGGGGGTGGCCACACCCAGCAATGCTCTGGGGTTTCTGCTGGCTCTGCACTCAGGAATCACTCCTGGCAGTGCTCAGGGAACTATTTGGGATGCTGGGAATCGAACCCGGGTCAGCTGCATGCAGAGCAAATGCCCTACCCGCTCTGGCCCCTTTCATTTCTTTTTGGGGCATCCCCAGTGGTTCTCAGAGGCTACTCCTGGCATGTAGGACAATTTACTGGCAGCCCTGCTGGGGCACCATGAAGGAGGTTATCAAACTGGGGTTGCTTTTGTTATTGTTTTTTTGTTCGTTTTGCTTTTGGGCCACACCTAGAAGTGCTCAGGCTTGGTCCTGGTGGACCTTATTCATGGGGTGCTTGGGGGTTGCTTGAGTGGTCTGTGTGCGATGCAGGCACCTTAACCCCTGTATCTCTCTCCAGCTGGGAAGTGAACTGGGTTTGTCGAACTCAGGGTTTCAAGTGAAGTGAAGGGTTTCAAGCGAGTGAAGCAAATGCACTAGCCCTTTGAGCTATCTGCCGCACCCTTGGGTCTCATGAGCGCACTTCCCCAGAGCCATGGCACAAAGGGCATGGTGTCTGTCTTGCATGCGGCAGACCAGGCACCCCTGTACCCGCATGTGTTTCCCTGAGCTTAGCACCAGCAACACCAGGAGTGTTCCCTGGGTGCAGAGCCCGGAGTAAGTCCTGAGCACAGCTGGGTTTGGCCCAGGCAGGAAACCCAAAAATTAAGAGATAAAGGCACTAACGCTCTCCGGAGGGGTCAACCTCCACAACCTCCCGCTAACCGTCATCCCTTCTCTGCAAGTACAGAGTGAATCTGGGTTGATGCTCTTAGCTCTGTTGCACAAGCCTGTGACTGAGAGGGAGAAGGAAGCCTTTGGGCTCTGGGGGAATGAATGGAGTGGCCGAGAGTGCTGGGGCTGTCAAACCAGGGTGGTCTCTGTGGACGCCTTAAAGCGGCCAGCTGTCAAGCAGGGGCATAGCTGCAGGGCTGCTGAGCTGGGGGCCAGGAGAGTGGGATGGAATGAACTGAGGCGAGAACCCCCAGGCAGGGCAGCCCAGCCCGCGGAGGGGGCGGGAGGGGAGCAGGCCAGGGTCTGGGACCACCGGGAGCAGGGGAACCGGCGACAGCGCAGGGGGCACAGCAGGTGCCAGCTGCCCTCTGGCCGTGCGTCTCCTTCCTTCCTTGCAGGCTATGACCGTTTCCTGCCCCTCCTGCCTCCTGGCCAGTCCCGATGGTACCAGGCGCCGTGGGCAGGGGGTTCCTTCCTCTGCCCGGGCCCTGCATGTCCTCGCCCCGGCTCGGTGGCCCTGGGGGGGGCCGGGGGAGTCCAGCGAGGGGAGCACTGGGGGGAGGGCCGGGAGGGGGCGGCGCGGGAGGCAGGGGCCGGGGCATCACCCATCACCGAGGCGTGGGGCCTCACGCTGCCTCCTAGAACTTCACGGCGTCGGGCGAGGCGGAGGAGCGGCGCTGCGCCACGCGTCGGGAGCTGCTGCAGCGCGGCTGCCCGGCCGGGGAGCTGGAGGCGCCGCGCAGCCGCCTGGAGCTGCTGCAGGACCGGCCGCTGAGCCCGGGCCGGCGCGGAGAGGGAGCCACGCAGCTGGCGCCGCAGCGCGTCCGCCTGGCGCTGCGACCGCGTGAGCGCGGGGTCCCGGGGTGGGTCCCGGGGGGTCCCGGGGTGGGTCCCGGGGGGTCCCGGGCTGGGTCCCGGGGGGTCCCGGGGTGGGTCCCGGGGGTCCCGGGGTGGGTCCCGGGGGGTTCTGGGCTGAGTCCCGGGGGGTCCCGGGGTGGGTCCCGGGGTGAGTCCCGGGGGTCCCGGGGTGGGTCCCGGGGGATCCCGGGCTGGGTCCCGGGGTGTCCCGGGGTGGGTCCCGGGGGGTCCCGGGGTGGGTCCCGGGGGGTTCCGGGCTGAGTCCCGGGGGGTCCCGGGATGGGTCCCGGGGGTCCCGGGGGGTTCCGGGGTGAGTCCCGGGGGGTCCCGGGGTGGGTCCCGGGGGGTCCCGGGCTGAGTCCCGGGGGGTCCCGGGGTGGGTCCCGGGGGTCCCGGGGTGGGTCCCGGGGGGTTCCGGGGTGAGTCCCGGGGGGTCCCGGGGTGGGTCCCGGGGGGTCCCGGGCTGGGTCCCGGGGGTCCCGGGGTGGGTCCCGGGGGGTCCCGGCCTGGGTCCCGGGGGTCCCGGGGTGGGTCCCGGGGGGTCCCGGCCTGGGTCCCTGGGGTCCCGGGGTGGGTCCCGGGGGGGTCCCGGGGTGAGTCCCAGGGGTCCCGGGGTGGGTCCGGGGGGTTCCGGGCTGAGTCCCGGGGGGTCCCGGGGTGGGTCCCGGGGGGTTCCGGGCTGAGTCCCTGGGGGTCCCGGGGTGGGTCCCGGGGGATCCCGGGGGGTCCCGGGGTGGGTCCCGGGGGTCCCGGGGTGGGTCCCGGGGTCCCGCGGCCGCGCCCTGACCCCGCGCCGCCCCGCAGGGGAGCCCCAGGAGCTGCGGGTGCGCTTCCTCCGGGCCGAGGGCTACCCGGTGGACCTGTACTACCTGATGGACCTGAGCTACTCCATGAAGGACGACCTGGAGCGCGTGCGCCAGCTGGGCCACGACCTGCTGGCCGGGCTGCAGAACCTCACCCGCTCCGTGCGCATCGGTGAGCGAGCCCGACCTTGCGTGCGCGGACACACGCACACGCGGACACACGCACACCTGTACGCACACGCACACGCGTGCAAGCATGGGCACGTACACACGCATACACGTGCACACAGGCACACACGTATGCACGCACACATGTGCGCACACGCATGACACATGCACACACGTGTACGCATACACACCTGTACACACATGCACACATGTGCGTGCACACACGCACACGTGTACACATGCACACCTGTACACACACGCACACACGTGCAAATATGCACACAAATGTAAGCATGGACACGCGCACACACAGGCACACACAGGCACACACATGCACGCATGCACACGTACATGTGCACACACGTGCATGCACACACGCACACATGTATGCATGCATATGCGTACACACGCACACGTGTGACACATGCACACACGTGTACACATGAACACGTGTAAACACATGCACATGCACACACATGTACACATGTACTCATGTACACACATGCACACACATGCACGCACACATGCACAAACACGTACGCATGCACACGTGTACACACATGCACACACAAATACACATGCACACACACGTACGCATGCACGCACGCACGCACACGGGCACACGCATATGCACACATGCACACTTACGTGTAATGTACGCATGTGTATACACACAGTCATCTGCACACGGGCCGGCCCTCTCCGAGTTGCCCCGTTTGCTTTCTGGGCCACACTCGCTTCCTGGCTGTGCTCCGCGAGATTTGGCGCCCCCCTGGAACCCGGGCATCCAGTGGCCGCCGCCTCTCCAGACTCTCCCAGTTTCAGGCCAGGACAGGCCTCGTGTCCCTGGCCTCCCTCCCCAGTCATCTGTCTTCCAGATCAGAGCCACAGAATTCCCTAGGTGGGCCAAGGTGGGTGGGACCCACTGTCCAGGAGAAGTAAGGGAGGCCTGAAACCGGCAGAGGCGGCCTTCAGGCGGCTCAGAGCTGGACGGGGCCCCCCGCGCCCAGGTGGCACCATCTCAGCCTCTGTCTCTTGCACAAGTCCAAGCGCCAAGGCCCTGAACGGACATTCCGTGTTTGCCAGGACACGCCACGGCCTGACCTCCCCAGCCTTCAGCCTTCCCGGGCCCATGAACCCTCACCCTTCCTCCACCCGCCTCTTCCCCTTCTCGCCTTCTGCCCGGCTCAGTGCTGGGCCTGCCCTCTGGGAGCTCCGTCCCTCTTGTCCTCCTTTCCGTCCATCCTGCCACTCCCGCTTTCCTCTGAGCCTGCAGCGGGCAGCTGTGCAGTGACATCTTCCCCGTCCCCCGCCCCCCATCTCTGTCGCAGGCTTTGGCTCCTTTGTGGACAAGACGGTGCTTCCCTTCGTGAGCACGGTGCCCTCCCAGCTCCGCCACCCGTGCCCCATGCGCCAGGAGCGCTGCCAGCCACCCTTCAGCTTCCGCCACGTGCTGTCCCTGACGGGGGATGCCAAGGCCTTCGAGCAGGAGGTGGGGCGCCAGAGCGTGTCTGGGAACCTGGACTCGCCCGAGGGTGGCTTCGACGCCATTCTGCAGGCCGCGCTCTGCCAGGTGAGGAGGTGGCCCCCGGGAGCCGAGCCTGAAGGCCCTTTAGGACCAGGACCTGTGGCGATGCCACGCCCTGGGAAGCCGCGACCTGGTGTCGTGGCAGTTTCCGGGGGGGTTGGGGGGAAGTGATTCGAGGCGTCCCCACCTTTTCCTCACTCACAGGAAATTCTGTGGCTGGACTGGCCAAGGATCCCCGTCCGGGGGACAGGGGAGAGGCTGGGGCTGGAGGCAGGGGATGGATGAAGTGACTCAGGGCAAGGCTGGCCAAGGCCTTGGCCGGCCGAGTGGGCCGGGTGGTCCGTCCCCCCCTCACGCTCAGCTGCCCCCCCCCCCCGCACTCCAGAAGCAGATCGGCTGGAGAAATGTGTCCCGGCTGCTGGTTTTCACCTCGGATGACACGTTCCACACAGCGGGGGACGGGAAGCTGGGGGGCATCTTCATGCCCAGCGACAGCCACTGCCACTTGGACAGCAACGGCCTCTACAGCCGCAGCCCAGAGTTTGTGAGTGTCCCGTGTCGTCCCTCCCTCTCTGGTCAGGTGAGGCGGTGGCCCCCAGGAGCCGAGCCTGAAGGCCCTTTGGGGGCCAGGACCAGGACCTGGGGCGGTGCCACGCCCTGAGCAGACTTGCTCTCCAAACCCGCCACGCCGCAGGACGGCCCGACCCTGGCTCCTGGCTCTCTGGGGCACCCCGCACGCGAGGGGTGGGGCTGGCTGGGCTGGCGTCCGAAGGGGGCTCAGCTCCCCGGCCCTGCTCCCCGCTCCAGGACTACCCCTCCGTGGGGCAGGTCGCCCAGGCCCTCTCGGCAGCCAACATCCAGCCCATCTTTGCTGTCACCAGTGGCACGCTGCCCGTCTACCAGGTGAGGCCAGTGTCGGGCGGGCGGGGAGGGCGGGCGCGGGGGAGCTCGGGCCTCGAGGTCCCCGGCACTGCTGTGCACACGGCCCAGGGGCCTGAGACGACGAGACGAGGCCCGTCCTCCGCCCCCCACTTCCAGACCCCCAGACGCCCCTTTCCCTAGAGCTGCGCCCCCAACATCCCTTCTTCGCTGCACCCAACTCAGGAGCTGAGTAAGCTGATCCCGAAGTCCGCGGTGGGGGAGCTGAGCGAGGACTCCAGCAACGTGGTGCAGCTCATCCTCAGCGCGTACAAGGTGCCCGGACGGGGCTGGCCGCGGGAGCCAAGAACCCGGAAGGAGCGTCCCCAGTTGCGGCGGGCGGCGGGCGGAGGACGGCCACGTCTGGGGGTGCTCAGGGCCTACTGCTGGCTCGGAACTTAGGGGTCACTCCTGGCAGGGCTCCAGGGACTATAGGTAGTGCGGGGGTTGGTGACATGCAAGGTCTGCCTGCTGTACTGTCTCTCCAGTCCCCACAGAGACTCTCCCTCCCTTCCTCCTTTCCTTCCTTCCCTCCCTCCCTTCCTTCTTTCCTTCTTCCCTCCCTCCCTCCCTCCCTCCCTTCCTTCCTTCCTTCCTTCTTTCCTTCCTTCCCTCCCCCCTCCCTCCCTTCCTCCTCCCTTCCTCCCTTCCCTTCTCTTCCCCTTCCTTCCTTCCTTCCTTCCTTCCTTCCTTCCTTCTTTCCTTCCTTCCTTCCCTCCCCCCTCCCTCCCTTCCTCCTCCCTTCCTCCCTTCCCTTCTCTTCCCCTTCCTTCCTTCCTTCCTTCCTTCCTTCCCTCCCCCCTCCCTCCCTTCCTCCTCCCTTCCTCCCTTCCCTTCTCTTCCCCTTCCTTCCTCCCTCCCTTCCTTCCTTCCTTCCTTCCTTCTTCCCTCCCTTCCTTCCTTCCTTCCTTCCTTCCTTCCTTCCTTCCTTCCTTCTTCCCTCCCTCCCTCCCTCCCTTCCTTCTTCCCTCCCTCCCTCCCTTCCTCCCTTCCTTCCTTCCTTCCTTCCTTCTTCCCTCCCTCCCTCCCTTCCTTCCTTCCTTCCTTCCTTCTTCCCTCCCTCCCTCCCTTCCTCCCTTCCTTCCTTCCTTCCTTCTTCCCTCCCTCCCTCCCTTCCTTCCTCCCTCCCTTCCTTCCTTCCTTCCTTCCTTCTTCCCTCCCTTCCTTCCTTCCTTCCTTCCTTCCTTCCTTCCTTCCTTCCTTCTTCCCTCCCTCCCTCCCTCCCTCCCTTCCTTCCTTCCTTCCTTCCTTCCTTCCTTCCTTCTTCCCTCCCTCCCTCCCTCCCTTCCTTCTTCCCTCCCTCCCTCCCTCCCTCCCTTCCTCCCTTCCTTCCTTCCTTCCTTCCTTCCTTCCTTCCTTCCTTCCTTCCTTCCTTCCCTCTTCCTTCCTCCCTCCCTCCCTCCCTTCCTCCCTCCCTCCCTCCCTCCCTCCCTCCCTCCCTTCCTTCCTCCCTCCCTCCCTCCCTCCCTTCCTCCCTTCCTCCCTTCCTTCCTCCCTTCCTTCCTTTTCCTTCCTTCTTTCCTCCCTTCCTCTCTCCCTTCCTTGCTCCCTCCCTTCCTCTCTTTTTCTTTTGTTTTTTGGGCCATGCTTGGCAATGCTCGGGTGTTACTCCTGGCTTTGCACTCAGGGTCACTCCTGGTGGTGTTCAGGGGACCTTAGGGGATGCTGGAGATGACACCGGGGTCCACTGCGTGCAAGACAAGACTCTCGCAGCTGTCCTGTCTCTCCGGCCCAGACAGTCCATTTCTACTGGGACAGTCTGCAGCTGCGGCTTCCACCAACAGCTTTCATGACTGGGCTCTTCTGCATAGTTCTGACGCTCACGTTCACACCCAGAGCATGGACTTGTTTGTGGAGCACTGAGTTCTGCCTGGGCAGGAAGGGAAAGAAGGAGGCTGTGTGCCCCGGCTTCAGCACACGCTGTTTGCATGCTCTCTCGCTCCCTCTCTCCCTTGGGGGAGCATATCCCGTGATGCACAGGGGTTCCTCCTGGCTCGTGCACTCAGGAATCACTCCTGGAAGTGCTCGGGGGACCCTATGGGATGCTGGGAATCGAACCCGGGTCGGCCGCGTGCAAGGCAAACGCCCTACCCGCTGTGCTATCACTCCAGCCCCCATTTAAAGTTTTTTTTATTTTCTTTTTGGATTCTGGTCCTCACCTGGAGGTGCTCAGGGGCTACTTCTGGCTCTGTGCTCAGAGTGCCCCCTGCTGGTGCTGGGGACCATACGCGGTGCCAGGACCTACTGGGGCATCTGCAGGCAAGGTGAGGTCTGAGGTCCTGCAGGGCTCTCCTGCCCTCCACGACGGGCTTCTGCACGGTAGGGAGCCTGTCCTGAACCCACAGACAGAAAACAGTACATCTGGGGCTGGAGCCATAGCACAGCGGGTAGGGCGTTTGCCTTGCACGCGGCCGACCCGGGTTCGATTCCCAGCATCCCATGGAGTCCCCGAGCACCGCCAGGAGTAACTCCTGAGTGCATGAGCCAGGAGGAACCCCCGTGCATCGCCGGGTGTGACCCAAAACACAAAACAAACAAAAAAACAGTACATCTAATTCCGCTTTCAGAGGAGAGACCTTAGGTCCGTACGCAGGCAGGTTCCACGTCCTGGTGTAGGGTTTGGAAACGTGTAACACTTGCAACGCTGGCTGGCCCCAGTGCCAGCAGGCATTGGCGCAGCCACAGAGAAGCGTGGCAGGGGTTCTGGTCAAAGTCCTCACAGCTCCTCCCTGTGGAAACACTTCAAAATGGGCAGTGGGGGGCCGGAGCCATAGCACAGCAGATAGGGCACTTGCCTTGCTCCCTGCTGACCCGGGTTCGATCCCTGGCATTCAATTTGGTTCCCCGAGCCTCGCCAGGAGCGAATTTTGAGATCAGAGCCAGAAGGAACCCCTGAGCACAACGGGGTGTGGGCAAGAAAAAAAAAAGCGTGGAGGGCTGGAGCGATAGCACAGCGGGTAGGGCGTTTGCCTTGCACGCAGCCAACATGGCCGACACAGGTTCGATTCCCAGCACCCCATATGGTCCCCTGAGCACCGCCAGGAGCAAATCCTGAGTGCATGAGCCAGGAGTAACCCCTGAGCATCGCCGGGTGTGACTCAAAAAGCAAAAAATAAAAAAAAGAGGCGTGGAAAGAGCACCCCAAGGGCTGAGGACAAGAGAGGCAGCCTGGGGGAGCCTGGGGACTCTGGAGAGGGCACTGGGAGGGGGCGCCTAGACCCCCTGAGACGGCATCTGTCCCTCTCCCCACAGAACCTGTCATCCACCGTGACGCTGGAGCACTCCCCGCTGCCTGAGGGGATCAGCATCTCTTACAAATCGCAGTGCGGGGACCCAGAGCAGACGGCAGGAGAGGCTGGGGTCCGGGGCCAGTGCACTGACGTGGGCATCAACCAGAAGGTGAGAGCCAGCCGGGGGGCAGAGGAAGGAAGTGGGGGCAGGAGTGGGAAACGCAAGTGGGCAGGAAAAGATGGGAACAGCACGAGAACAATGCGGACGCACGGGGCGACCTTCCAGCCGTCCTTGCCCGGGGGGACTCGGAGGCCTTCTTCACGCTCGTTTCTGGAAAAGTGCTGTGCGAGCCCAAGTCTTTATTATTATTATTTTTTTGCTTTTTGGTTCACACCCAGCGATGCTCATGGGTGACTCCTGGCTCTGCGCTCAGGAATTACTTCTGGCGCTGCTGGGGGACCATGTGGAATGTCGGGGATAGAACCTGGGTCGGACGCGTGCAAGGCAAATGCCCTACCGCTATGCTATCACTCCGGCCCCTATTTTTTTTTTTTTTTTTTGCTTTTTGGGTCACACCCGGCGATGCACAAGGGTTCCTCCTGGCTCTGCACTCAGGAATTACTCCTGGCAGTGCTGGGGACCATATGGGATGCTGGGAATCGAACCCAGGTCGGCCGCGTGCAAGGCAAATGCCCTACCCGCTGTGCTCTCTTTCCAGCCCCACCCTGGCCCCTATTAATTTTGCTTTTTCGGGACCACATGCAGCAGTGCTCAGTGCCGAGTCCTGGCTCTGCAGTCAGGAATCACTCCTTGTGGGCTTGGGGAGCACACGGGCTGCGGGGGGATTGAACCCGGGTTGGCTGCGAGCAAGGCAAGCTGCACCCACTGCTCGGTCCTTACGGAGGAGCTGGGTGTCGTCGGGGTGGGGGCCCTGTGAGACCCTCGTCTGCTTTCTGCCCCTCCCGTCCTAGGTGACTTTCCGGGTCACGCTCCAGGCTGCCCACTGCCTCCCTAAGCCCCAGGTGGTGAGGTTCCGAGCCCTGGGGTTCTCGGAGGAGCTGGTCGTGGAGCTGAGCACGGTGTGTGACTGCAACTGCAGTGAGAGCGAGCAGCTCCGGGCCCCCCACTGCAGCGGAGGCCACGGGACCCTGCAGTGTGGGGTGTGCAGGTGAGACCCACTTCCTGTCCCCCCAGGGCGCCCACGGTCTGCACTGGCCTCCCTCGGGGTTCTGTTTTGTGAAGTCCCAACACTGTTCCCTTCGGCGGTGTCCGACGAGCAGGGCCCACCGGTCCCGCTGCTCCACCCTCTCGCCCCGGCGGTCCCGTGTCTGCGTTTGGGGGTCCCAGAAAGGCTGGCCCAGGGAGGGCGCCTGCCTCTGACCCCCTTCCCTGGCCTCTCCTCCCTCCTCCCAGCTGTGCTCCCGGACGCCTGGGTCGGCTCTGTGAGTGCTCGGAAGCAGAGCTGTCGTCCTCGGACCTGGAGTCCGGGTGCCGGGGCGCCAACGGGACGGGCCCGCTGTGCAGCGGGAAGGGCAGGTGCCAGTGTGGGCGCTGCAGCTGCCTCGGGCAGAGCTCCGGGCGCCTGTGCGAGTGTGACGACGCCAGCTGTGAGCGCCACGAGGGCGTCCTCTGTGGAGGTACCTGAAGGTTTGCGGGTGGGGTGGGCAGAGGCGCTTCCGGGGGACGAAGGACCAGTTCCCCAGGGGTTGGCACGGGACCCGGAGGGTGTCCCTGGCACAGTGGCCAGGGGCCTGGATGCAGAGGTCAGCTCCAGGCACTCAGAGGGGACGTGGGGGGGAGGGTCGAGCTGTGTGGGGAGCCCGGAGTCACCCAGCGCTGGCTCTGCCCCAGGTTTCGGCCGCTGCCAGTGTGGCGTGTGTCACTGCCATGCCAACCGCACGGGCCGGGCGTGTGAGTGCAGTGGGGACACGGACCACTGTGTGAGCCCCGCGGGCGGGCTCTGCAGTGGGCACGGCCACTGCGAGTGTAACCGCTGCCAGTGCCTGGACGGCTACTACGGGGCCCTGTGCGACCAGTGTCCGGGCTGCAAGACGTCGTGCGAGAGCCACAGGTGAGACTGGGCTGCCGCCTGCCCCGTCCCTGTGCGCGGTGGGCAGCGGCTGCCCCGTGGGGACTCACTGGCTGCCACCGGACAGGGACTGCGCCGAGTGCGGGGCTCTGGGCACGGGCCCCCTGGCCGCCAACTGCAGCGTGGCTTGTGCCCACGTCAACGTGACTCTGGCCGTGGACCCGGTTGTGGACGACAACTGGTGCCAAGTGGGGACCGTGGACAACCAGGCCTTCTTTTTCCTGGTGGAGGAGCATGCCGGAGGCAGGACGGTACTTCGAGTGAGGCCACCCGAAAGTGAGTGGGCCGCATCCTTCCGCTCTGGGGAGAGAAAGAGGACGCGAGCCAGGCCCGGGAGGCACAGCCGCGGAGGACAAGGCCAGGGCCCTGGCCTCCAGCACGGCGGGCGGGGGCTGGACGGGCTCGTGGGGGCTGGCAGCATCCGGGACCCTCGGTGCCGGTGCCCAGGGCTGTTTCTCCCCGCGCCCCTCAGAGGCTGCAGACCACACCCGGGCCATCATGCTGGGCTGTGTCGGGGGCATCGTGGCCGTGGGGCTGGGGCTGGTTCTGGCCTACCGGCTGTCGGTGGAGATCTACGACCGCCAGGAATACAGGCGCTTCGAGAAGGAGCAGCAGCGGCTCAACTGGAAGAAGGTGGGGCCGGTGGGGTGGCCGCTGGGCCGGCTTTCCCTCGCCAGGGTCCGGGCCTGCTCCCCACAGGCACCCAGCCCCCCGTCCCCGGGGCCCCCTGAACCGCGAGGGGGGCCCTCGCCTCACCCGCCCCCTCTCCACAGGACAACAACAACCCTCTCTACAACAGCGCCATCACCACCACCATCAACCCCAGCTTCAAAGGGGCAGACAGTCCCGGCTGCTGACGGGGGGCTCTTCGTGCCACGCCGCTTCTCTGAAGGGACGGGACCACCCCAGTGCCTCACTCGCAGGGACCACCCGAGGGCCGCTTCCCGGCTGCCTCCGACCTCCTCCAGCTCTCAAGGGGGTGATGCCACAGCCCACGAGGACGTTCCTTCGAAGCCCAGCTGTCGCCCTGCCCGCACCCTAGCCCCTCCAGGTCCTCCCCCCGCTCTCCTCAGCATCCCCACCGCAGGGGAGCTGGCCAGGCACCAGGAAGCCACCGGCCACATCTCGGACCCCCGAGACAGCACCAGCCCTGCCCTGCCCCTTGTTTCCTCTCGCAGCAGATGTGCCTTTCCCGCCTGTGACTGCTGTTACGTCGGATCCTTCTTGAATTGGGGGTGGGGGACACGCCCCACCTGGTGGTGCTCTGGCTGCTCTGGGCAGGGGGCTGAGGGCATGTGCTTCCCGGGATGCTGTCTGGCCTCCCATGCAGGTGCAGGCCCTGCCATCCCCCCTTTTAAGTGGTCACTCACAGGGTCCCCAAGTCGCAGGTGGCCACACAGCACAGGGGGCGAACGGCACTCTGGTCCCAGTGGAAAAGCTTCCCTAGCCGATGTTCTCCCCCAAGAAGAGATGGTGTGTAGAAAAGTCCCATTTTCTTTTTATTTAAATATCCTAAATATATCACGAAGGAACATACACTGTACTTTAATGGTAAAAAGATACAAGTTTATAACATCTTATAAAAACTACCATTTAAAAGTGATCTTGTCCATTTCGATATTCCCCACCCCCCAATAGCAAAATAAGTATATTAAAAAAAAAGAGGGGGGTTGAGAAGATGGGGGGCCTAGTCGAAGGTGGACGCCCGGCAGGGCCCGAGCAGAGGCGGGGCGCGTCTGGGAAGAGGATGGACAGGCCGGGCCCTGTCCACCCTCCAAACTCAAGCCACGGGGCACAGTCAGTAGCTAAGTGGAGGCAGGAGGCTGCGGGGGGTGCACCGGGCAGACAGGGGTGGGGGGGGGAGGGCGGCAGGGCTGGTGTCGGCGCCCACCCGGAGATGGCGCAGCTCTCCAGGGTCCCAGGTCCTCATCCCGGCGTCCGAGAGCCCGTCCCGTGTCCCTTTCCCTTCACTCCAAACACCTGAGGCATCTTGCCGGGGCCGGACCCCACGAGCAAAGGAGGCTGGGCCCCGGGCCCCCGGCTCGGAGGGGGGTTCGAGCCTGGGGCACAGACGGGGCTCCGGCCTCCAGCCCTGTTGCTGACCCGACCCCCGGCTCCTGAGTGGCCCACAGCCCACTCGAGGCAGGGGGTTCTGACCGGCCCCTCGCCCGCCCAGGCAGGCATGAAGCTGACGTGTCAGCAGCTGGGCACTGGCACCCACACATTCACACGGCGGGCAGAGTCCCGCAACCCGTCATCGGCTGCGAGTGGCAGGGGGAGAGAGGCCTCCCCAGAGGGCAGCTGCCTCCCCCTCCCCCCACAAGTTGCTCCTTGAGGTGACCGACGGCAGCGGAACAGGAGCAGGGCCACAGTCCACCAGTGGGGACACACCCGCCCGGGCTCTGTGGGACCCCAGGGCCAGAGGCCACGTTCTGGACTGGCGCCATGGCCAACATTCCCCAGCGTTCCCCCCCGGAGGACCCCGGGTGTTCTCCGGGCGTCTGGGCCACCTGGGTTGCTCCCTGAAGCCCTCGGGTCTCGGAGGCAGGAGGACCCGCACCCACATTCCACGACCCCTGGGCAGCTAACAGCCAGGACCTCGCCGCTGCCCTCTTCCAGGGGCCACTTCCTAGGTCACAGACAGGTCCGGGACTTCCCCTAAGCACAGCCCGCAGCTGGGGGGCGAGGACTGTCCCCCAAACCTCAGAGCCTCCTTAGAGGAAGAAAAAGGGTCTTTCCATTTCCCCTTCGAAAATTCATGTTCACATCTCCTGGGCTGGACTCAGAAATGCCCAAGCCCGGCCTGTTGCATCCAACCTAAGAAGCCCCCCCGAAGCACAGCCCTGCAGCACGCCCCCCCGCCCCCCGGCAGCCTTTGGGGAAGGGAGGCTGCCTTCCGCGACTCCCCCTCGGAGCTAAGGGCTCGAGGAGGTCTGGCTCATTGATACGCCGCTCCAAGCACACAAACACGAACACTCACATAGCACACCCTCCCCGTCATCACGCGTGGCGGAGGTGGGGGGACACGGGACGGGCGGGGCGGGCGGGGCGGGGAGCAGAGGAGCAGCACCCGCAAGGGGCGTCCTCGGCCCCCTCCCTGCGCCACCTGGATACAGTGATAGGACTCGGGCGGGGGGACAGCCCCTCCGACCCAACAGTCACACCAGGGGACACCGGACCCCCGTCTCGCGAGGAGTCCGAGGGGCGCGGGGCGGGGACCCCACTTTCACAGCCGCGACTCCGCGCGTGCACCACGTGTGTCTGGCTCAGGAGTCCACTGGCAGCGAGGTAGCCACGGACCACCCCCAGGGCCAGCTGCCTGCAGGGAGAGGGATGGCGCCCCTCGCCCCTCGCCCAAGTTTCCTCCGAAAGGCACTTGAGCCGACCCCACCGGGCCTGAGCGGCCCGGGGCCAGCACAGGCGGCCGGGCACGACTCCTGCTCCTCCCTGGAGGAAGCGCGAGGCCCCGGCCTGCTCCCCACCGTCCCTCTCTCTGCTGGCCAGCGGGGAGGGTGGCCGGGAGCCCCGCTGCCACCCCTGCTCCCGGCTCCTTCCGCCGGGCGAGGCGCGGGGCCGAGGGCCACTGAGGATCACTTGCCACTAACCAAGTCCATTCGGGGGGCGGGCCGGGCTGGCCAGAGTCCCTGTCCCGGACCACGACCTGCCGCCTCCGGGTGACCTGTCTCCATGGGCACCTGCTGAAATCGCTTTTGGCGTCAACAAAAACAAGAACAGAACCAACAAATCCCTCGCCCCAATCTTTTCCCGTTTCAGCTGCCGGCCGGCGTCCAAGTGGTGGAAGCAACACTTCAGCCTTGGTCCAGTACCCGGAGTCCGTCCCCCACCTCTGACCTCCGCCAAGGGTCCAGGGCCTGGCTTCCCGACCCAGGAATGCTGTAGGAACTTGCCCGAGATACTCCAGGTCTCGGATTATTTACAGAGCTGAGGCTCTGGGCCACGGTGGCCGGATGCACTCTTCTGCCCCCGACCCCTCCTCCAGGAGCGGGACAGGTCCGGGTGGGTGGTGGCGGCGGGACCACGAGGCCAAAGCGGGGGGCGCTCTTCAGTAGATGCTCCGGATCACTCCCACCACCCGGGGCCCCGGCGCCTAGAGGGAGAACTGCCCGTCGGAAGTCTTGGACTGGCAACCTTGGCACATCCGTTTGTGTCTGAGCAACCGGTCTGTCCGAGAAAAACACTGAGAGAAAAGGGCGGGTTAAGTGCCTGAGAGAAGCAAGTCCGCTCCCTGGGGCCAGAGCGACAGGGCGGCAAGGAGGGCGCCGGCCTCGGTGGCGCCGACCGGGGTTCAGTCCCCGGCTTCTCACATGGCCAGATGGTCCCCGGTTCCCCACCAGGAGTGATTCTGGGTGCAGAGCCAGGGGAAAAGCCTGAGCATCACTGCGTGTGACCCCAGACACAGAAACAAGCAGAAGCAGCAGCTTGAAGGACGGGGCTTTGGGGCTGGAGGGTGAGCTCTGCACACAGGACCCTCCTGAGCACCAGCAGGAAATGGCCCAGGTCGCTGAGGTCCTCCTTCCCCAGGCCTTGCGAAGAGGAACGCAAGGCCGAGTCGGGGGCTGCCTCGGGCAAAGCACCCGACAACTCTGACTCTGCACATGCAGCTCTGGGTTTGTTGTTTCGGGGCTACGCTTGGGAGGGGCTCAGGGCTTGCTCGATTCGGCGGGGTACTGAGGACCACACAGGGTGCCCGAAGTTGTCTCCGGACTGGCTGCACGCAGGCCAGTGACTGCCAGGCCGGCTCTCTGGCCTCTCGGCTTCCATTTGCCTCTGGGGTGGAGGGGTCTGAGCGCCCGGAGCTCAGTGCTTACTCCGGGTGCAGCCGGGACTGAAACCAGGACTGGCGGGGGCAAGGCCTCAGACTTGTGCCACCACTCCAGCCCCTCTGTTTCCTCCACTGGCTCCAGGGATGGAACCCAGAGCCTCCCCCACGGGGCAGGACCTGGTCTCCTGCTGGAAGAACCTACTCAGAGGGCGGCTGCTTTTTCATCCAGTGTGTCTGTGTGTGGCTTTTGGGCCATACCTGGCGGTGCTCTGGGCTTACTCCTGGCATCGTACTACGGAGTCATTCCTGGTGGTGCTGCAGGGACCACACTGGGCGCTGGGGGTCAAACCCAGGTCCTCTGCATGCCAGGCAAGGACATTAACCCCTTACGATCTCTCTGGTCCCTCGTAACTTTTTTGGGGGGGGGTGTTTGGGCCACACCAGGTGGTGCTCAGGGCTTCTTCCTGGCTCTGCACTCAGGGATCACTCCTGGTGGTATTTGGGATGCTGGAGATTGAACCCGGGTTGGCCGCTTAGAGGCACGTGCCCTTCGAGCTGTGCTATCTCTGTGGCCCTCATCCCTTCCTTGTGTGCATCTGGGGCCTGGCCCTTCGGGTCTCACTGGGTCACGTGCCGACATGCCCTCACCCCCCTGCACAGGGGCAGAGATTCAGCCTCCTCCTTCGAGGTGCACCGGTTCTGAGGTGCCTCTGAGCACTGGAACTGCCTCCGCCCTGGATCCTCTGCCCATGGCAACGTCCCCATGACTGGGAACGCTCCTCCTGAGTTAATGTGAGAACCAGAGACAGAAAATCACCTTGGTCGGGGGCTGGAGCGATGCAAGAGTGGGCGGGGGCTTGTATTGCACACAGCTGACACAGGTTTGATGCCCGACACCCCCTAGGGTCCCCTGGTCCCCACCAGGAGTTATTCCCGAGTGCAGAGTCAGGAGTTACCCCGGAGCACTGCCGGGCGGGTGCGGCCCCCACACGAACAAGAGCCCCCCAAAGGCCCCCTTGCCCGAGCTCCGCCCTGGCGGCTTACCTGGTGACACCGCTCGCACTGGTAGGGCTTCTCGCCGCTGTGCACCCGCTTGTGGCGCTCCAGGTGGTACTTCTGGATGAAGCGCATGTCACAGACGTCGCACTCGAACGGCTTCTCGCCTGGCGGGGGAGGAGGGTCGCGTCAGGAGTGGCCACGGCAGTTGCCCCGGAAGCGCGACCGTCAGTGACCAGGAGACCGCACTGGGGACAGAGTGCCCCGACTGCGGAGAACCACGCGGACCGCCTCACCCACCTTCCTTCTGCTTTGCTTTCTAGCACTTCCCCTTGAGACTACCCCCCTCCCCCGACCAAAACGCCCTTCAGAGAGCTCCAAACTACATCCAGTTCTGGCGGGGGGACGGCCAGTGGGCTGGAGTGTCCGCCGTGCATGAGCAAGCCCTGGGGCTGACTCCCGGCAGGCACCGCGCGCTCCTGTGACGGCTGCAGGGAGTGAGCCCCCTCCCCTGCCCCCTCCCTGGGTGGCGAAGGTCCCTCTCCCCCGACGAATGCGAGCAAGAAAGAGACTTACCGGTATGAATGAGGATGTGCCTCTTGAGGTGGTAGCTGCTCCTGAAGGCTCCGAAGCAGTGCTCGCAAGTGAAATTTTTGGGGATCTTCACTTGGAAAGAGCCGTTCTGTTCCACGACCACCACCTACGGGCAGCAGCCAGGACCATCATCAGGCCCTTCCTCCGCCGCTCCTGCCCCCACTCTGCGGCCGATCCTCCCACCCCCCGCTCCCCAGACTGTCCTCCCCACCAAGGACGTTCCAGAAAGGCCTGACCGAGACCTACCACAAGGGGACCTCAGATTAAAAGGGGTGGGGGAGGCAGTGGACGTGGCTTAGTGGTCGAGAACTTGCCTTGCGTGCGTGACGCTCTGGCCTGGGTCCCCGGCATCAGCAAAAGACACCCTCCCCCCGCGCCAAAAAAAGAAAAATGAAAAAGAAACCCAGGTGCCACACGCACTGGCTATGTGGGACCAACTCCAGACTGAGTGGGGGAAAGAGGAGAATCAGCCCGTTGCCAAGCCGGACCGGTGCGGGGGCCACCCCATTACCTGCCTTTTTAACAGTCTTTTTGGAATGCGAGGCCTCAGACAAGCTGGCGTCGTCCTTGCGGCTCCGGGACTTCTCGCTGTCTTTGCGGTGGCCCTTGGAAGACACACCAGGCCTACATTCACGGCCCATCTCCGAGCGTGGGACGGGAGACAGGGGACGCGGGAACGAGGAGAGGAAGGGACGGGCCCGGTGCTGAGCGGAAGGAAGCCCCGCTCCGTCCTCTCGCCAGGCCTTGGGGTAGGGACCGTACGGACGAAAAGAGCTTCCCGCGCACCCGAAAAATCCCCGCGTCCCACAGAACAAGCACGAAGGGACCGAAGCGTGGCACCTCCGGGCAGCGTGCCCGGCCCCCTGGGCCCCAGCGCCGTACCTGGCCGGAGCACCGCAGCACCTCGGGGCTCCCCGCCCGCTCTCCGTTCTCCGCCTGCTTGCTGGCAAGCTGGCTCAGCATCATCTTCTTGCTGGCTGCAGTGGGGACCAAGCTCACACCTGCGAGGCCTTCACAAGCCAGGAGACTTGCCTGGGTCGAGAGGAGGGGGGTCAGGTCCCAGCTCCCGCCCTCGCCAGGGGCCGCGTCTCTCCAAGGCAGAGGCCCTCAGACACCCGAGCCTGTGCCCCCTCCTTCAGAAAGGAAAACCACTCGGACCCACCAGGGCATCTGCCCTCTCTGACCCAACATACAGAAAGGCGTGCCCCCTCCCCCACTGCGCTGGTCTCTCCCGGTCCAGGCCGCATGGGTCACGCTAGGAAGCCCGGCTCGGAGAGGGGCCCCTCCTCAGACACCGCCTCCCTCCCGGACGCCCTCGCCAGGAACTAGGACTTTTTCGTTACCAGTCAGCATTTAGACACAGACTGAGTAAATAACGGAGCCCTTCGGCACCATGCCAGGTCCAGGATGCGAAGCTACGTATTACTTCAAAAATAAAGATGCAGGGGCTGGAGTGATAGCACAGCGGGTTCAGTTCCCAGCATCCCATGGGTGTTCCCCGACCACCGCCAGGAGTGATTCCTGAGTGCGTAAGCCAGGAGTAACCCCTGAGCATCACCGGGTGTGACCCAAAAAGCAAAAATAAATACATAAATAAAGAAGAATAAAAATAAAGATGTAGCAGGGGTTGCAGTGATAGCACAGCAGGTAGGGCATTTGCCTTGCATGTGGCGAACATGGGTTCAATCCCCGGCATCCCACAGGGTCCCCCAAGCAATGCCAGGTAGGAGTAATTCCTGAGTGCAGAGCCAGGAGTAACCCCTGAGCATCACTGGTGTGACCCAAAAAGCCAAATATATATATATATTAGATGCTAATTTTTTTAATGCATTACTTTCTTTTCAGTGTTCCCGTCATCCCTGGACACTGAGTCGGGTGAGGTCTATCCTACCTGCCCACTGAAACTCTCAAGGGAACTTCCTCTTCCTCTCGTGGGACCTCAGGACCCCGTTCCCAATGGGCAGACCTAATGGGTGCCACCTAGATCAGGTCTCACAAATAAGCTATTGATAAAATCATCAGCCAGAGAGATAGTACAGAGGGGGTAGGGTGATTGCCTTGCACGCAGCCAACCCAGGATGGATCCCAGCATCCCATATGGACCCCCAAGCCCAACCAGGAGGGATTCCTGAGCGCACAGCCAGGAACAGGCTTTGAGCACCCCCAGGGTGGCTCTTCCCTGGCAAAAAGAAATAAAATAAAAATGAAGAAATATTTTAGCTATTCTTCCATTTAGACGGTTCTGTTTGGTTTTTCTCTTTGGGCCACACCCCGCAGTGCCCAGAGCTTACTCCTGGCTCTGCACTTAGGGGTCACTCCCAAGGGGACTGGGAGGTGGCATGGGAAGCCAGGGACCGAACCCAGGTCAGTTTCGTGCCAGGCAAACGTCCTTCCGGCTGTGCTACCCTCCTGGCCCCGAGATCGCTTATTCATTTTGCTTTTTGGGTCACACCTGGCAATGCACAGGGGTTCCTCCTGGCTCTGCACTCAGGAGTTACTCCTGGCGGTGCTCAGGGGACCATATTGGACGCTGGGAATCGGACCCGGGTCGGCCGTGTGCAAGCCCTACCCGCTGTGCTATCACTCCAGCCCCCGAGATCTTATTTTTTAGGAATCCACTTAGGTCCTAAATTCCCTAAGTGCTGTCAACTATGACATTTAACATTTGCGCTACTTAGAGTCACAGAGACAGGACAAAGGGCTAAAGAGCATGTTGGTTGGCGTCCAGCAACTCCGACCTGAAAGGTGCCCTGAACACCGTCACAGGACCCTGCTCTCTGCTCCGAGACTCACCCCTACTCAGAAGGGTTCTGGAGTTGGCCATACAATTCATTTCTCCTCACCTCCAACCCAGGGTCATTTCTATGCGGGCAAGTCTGTGATTCCTCGTATTCCCTATTCCGTGCAGAATTACAAAATTTCATTTCTCCTTGAGCTACACCTAGCTGTGCTCAGGGGTCACCCTTAGCAGTTTGGGGGACCAGATGGGGTGCTGGGGTTCCGGGTTGCCACATGCAAGGCAAGCGCTTGTTACACTATCTACAGGGACTCAGCATCAAAATTTTTTTGAAATTTTTTGCTTTGGGGCCACAACCGGCGTTGCTCAGGGGTTAATCCTGACTGTGCTCAGAAATTAGTCTTGGTGGTGCTCAAGGGAGCATATGGGATACTGGGGATCAAACAGGGTCAGCTGTGAGCAAAGCAAGCGCCCTACATGCTCCAGCCCCCTCGCTGCCCCCCCAACTTGTTTTGTTTTGGGGCCACACCGGGGGATACTCAGGGATGACTCTCGGCAGGCTTGGGGGATGACAAGCTCCTCACCCCAAACTGAGACTTGATAAACTTGCTGCTTTTAGGCCACACCTGGTGGAGCTCAGGGCTTACTCCAGACCCTGTGTCCAGTAATCACTCTGGGAGGGCTCCGGGGACCACATGGGGTGGCAGGGATTGAATCTGGGTCAGCGGCATGCAAGGCAAATGCCCAACCCGCTGAACTACCGCCTTGGGCCAGAGACCTGATAAACTATTTTTTTTTTGGGTCACACCCAGCAGTGCTCAAGCTACTCCCGGCTCACTCTTCAGGGAACCGTGTTCTGGGTATTAAGCCCCGGCTTCCTGCATACAAAGCACGCATTATCTGGCACTTCGCACTAAAAGTAAAATACGCTTCAAGAGGCAGGGCTGGGCTGGAGGCACAGACAGCAGGTGTGGTACTTGCCTCGCACAAGGCTGACTTCTGGTTTGTTTTGCTTTTTGGATTGCACCCAGCAATACTCAGGAGTTACTCCTGGCTCTGGACTCTGCACTCCTCGGAGTGCTCAGGGGACCATATGAGATTCTGGGGACTGAACCTGGGTCGGCTGCTTGCAAGGCAAACACCCTACTTGCTGTACTATTGCTCTGGCCTTTGTCTTCCACTAGGTTGACCTGGGTCCGATCCCCAGACAAGTCTTAGAGGGAGACTCTGGGGGTCTCAGGATGAACTAATAATCATCTGAAAAAGACTATTACTATTAAAAGAAATTTTTTAACTTTTGGCTCACACCCAGCGGTGCTCAGGGGCTTATTCCTGGCAGGATACAGGGGTACCAGGGCTCAAACCCAGGTCAGCCGTGTGCAAGTCAAGCACCCTATGTTGCACTCTCTCTCCGGCCCAGAATTTTCTACTCAAATCACTTCTGGCAATTTGCTGATTCAACTATTTCCTCTAAGTTGTTTTTTAAGACTGAAGAGACGGCATAGGGGTTAAAGCACTTGCCTTGCATGAGGTCAACCCCATCAGATTCTCAGCAGGGCAAGTTCTCCCAAACAGAAAGCCAGGAGTAGCCCCTGCCCAGGGCAGAAGTTCTGCGTGTTGCTACAAAGCTGAACAAGGTTTCCGAGGCCCTGCAGGGCCCGCCTTGCCTGTGTGAGGTCAGGGGTTTGATTCCTGGCACCACCAAAAAAAAAAAAAAAAAAAGTGTGAGAAAAAAAATATTCTCTGTTGCTGGGCAAATAGTTTGGAAAATGTAGCAATAAAGAGGAAATTTTGTTAAACATCTATTTCCTTTTTTTTGGGGGGGGGTCACACCCTGCGATGGACAGGGGTTACTCCTGGCTCATGCACTCAGGAATTACTCCTGGCGGTGCTCGGGGGACCACATGGGATGCTGGGAATCGGACCTGGGTGGGCCGCGTGCAAGGCAAACGCCCGCTGTGCTATCACTCCAGCCCCCAAACATCTATTTCTTAAGAAATTTTGTGGTTTGGGGCTAGACAGGTAGCACAGGGGGTAAGGCGCTTGCCTTGCATGCAGCCAACCTGAGTTCGACCCCCGGCATCCCATATCACATCCCTCAAGTCTGCCAAGAGTAATTCCTGAGTGCAGAGCCAGGAGTGACCGAGTACCACCGGGTATGGTTCCAAAAATTTAAAAAACAAACAAACAACAAAAACCATCAAGTCTGCATCGTCACGGGGCTGATAGGTTCACCTAAGATGTAAAATGATCAGGGGCCGGGAATGCGTCTCGGTGGCGAAGCGCTTGCTTGTGACGCGAGGGACCCTGGGCTGGATTCCCCAACGCCAAAAAGTTCTGCTCTGCTCAGGGCAAACCGGGGAGAGGCTGTGGTCGCAAAACAAACGCGAACGTGATGCTGCAAATCAGACAAAGGAAGAATCCGCTCAAGGGCTCCACTCGGAAAGGAGGAAGAGCGGCCCCGGCTGGAAGCCCGCCAGGCCACGGCCAAGCTGCCACCCTGCTGACTGACGGGGGGTCCCTGGGGAGTTGCAGCAGCGCCGGGGAGGCGTGCACAGGGCCGGTCCACCCAAGCGACGGGAGCCTGTTTGGCCAACCTGCTTCTCCACCCATCCTCCAGCAGCACCGGGACCCCGGCCCTTCACATAGGCAGACCCAGGCCCGTCGCCGCTGCTGAACGGTCTTCCTATCTACAGAGTTAAGTCAAACCTCTTAACCGAGGGTCACTGGGATATTCCACTTTTCCAGGGAAAACCACCCCTTAGTTTTCCTGCCCTTCACCTTTCCCACAAACCCTTATGAAACCGCCATTTAAACCGTTAGGGGTCCGGTTCTTGCTCGGTGTTCAGCTGACCTAGGCTAGACCCCAGGCCCCACATCTGGTCTACAGGAGAGCCCGGCCAGGAGTGATCCCTGGCACAGAGCCAGAAGGAAGCCCTCAGCGGCCAGGCACGGCCCCAAACCCCCAAATTACCAGCAAAGTACCTGCAGTTTCACTAGCAAAGTGCCCGCTGCACGTTTAACCCCATCTCCTCCTCCTCCCGTGCGTCTAAGACTCTGAGCGAGCAGGTTTTGCACCTAGAAAATCCTGTGCATCCTTCAAGTCTTTTTTTTTCCCCCTTCACCCAGGCAGGGGTATAATTCTCTCCTCCACCGAGCACACGCCTCTGTTATCTGCACATTTGTCCAATCAACCGATTCACGGGATCCCTACCGCCACAGAAGGCAAGGGGAATAGAAAGAGAAACGAAAGAGTATTTCTTCGTTCCCCCCCACCCCGATCCCACCCCGCCTGGAAGCTTGCTGGGGGCAGGGACCACCTGATTCATCTTTGTATCCCCAGCACAATGCCTCGCAAGTAACAGGAGCGTTAAGAAATCCCTGCTGGAAGAAAAGACACAAGCAGACAAATGAAGCATTCACCGGACTGCGCACTGTCTCGTGCCCTTGACGGACCCAGCAAACGTCAACTGCGCCCGTTTCTTCGCGAGCGTCCCATCAGCGCCTGAAATGCGGAATGGCCTACCTCCTTCATTTGACTGGAAGCTCCCTGGGGCGGGGGCTGAGGCCTTTCCTTTCCTCCTCTAGATCTCCCCCTGAGGCTTATTACAGAGGGCTGATCACTGGGCTGGTCAATATGTTGACTAAGGCAGCCTTCAAGAGCGAAACTGCAAATTCGCTTCCCAGAGATCTTGAAGGAGGAGGACTCGAAAGTGTTTTACCTGAGCCATGCCGGTCTCACACCTAACGCAACTCAAAAGTTTGGGAGTTTCGTGGGTCCACTTTTCCTTAAGAACACTGCAGTTGGGAAGGAATGTCACCCAATCATTGTAACCACTCCTGCATGTCCCTTCAGTCCTGCTGCCATAACGAGCTTCCTTCGTCCTCGCGCGGAACTCAGTGTCCTCCAAAGGCAAGAGCGATGTTCCGAGGATCCCCGGGCTCCGCCTGGCCCCGGTCCGCGGTGGGAAGCGAAGTCTGGGTCCGCCTGGGCCTTTCTGCTGGGCCTCTCGATGCTCCTCGGGGTCTGTTTCCTGCAACCAGAAGGGGAGACGGGGCTGTCAGGGGGTCCCGACCAGGGGCCAGCCACGGGGCTTGAGCTGGGGCATTTTGCCTGCCAGGTGCGCTCTGTGCCGGGAAGCCGGGGCATGCAGGGAGAACATTCTTTTCGTTTTTTTGGCTTTTGGGGGTCATGGGTCCCACCCGGCGGTGCACAGGGGTTCCGCCTGGCTCTGCACTCAGGAATCACCCCTGGCGGTGCTCGGGGGACCCTCTGGGATGCTGGGGCTTGCAAACGCCCTCCCCGCTGGGCTATTGCTCCAGGCCTTTTTTGTTTGTTTTATGCTTTTTGGGTCACACCAGAGGATGCATGGGGTTGCCCCTGGCGGTGCTCGGGGGACCCTCTGGGATGCTGGGATTGAACCCGCATGCAAGGCAAACGCCCTCCCCGCTGGGCTATCGCTCAAGCCCTTTTTTTTTTTGCTTTTTGCTTTTTGGGTCCCACCCTGCGATGCACAGGGGTCGGCTCATGCACGCAGGAATGACTCCTGGCGGTGCTGGGGGGACCCTCTGGGATGCTGGGGGGGATGGAACCCGCGTGCAAGGCAAACGCCCTCCCCGCTGTGCTATTGCTCCAGCCCCCCCCATTTTTTTTTTTTTTGCTTTTTGGGTCCCACCAGGCGATGCACGGGAGTTGCCCCTGGCGCTGCTCGGGGGACCCTCTTGGGGTGCAGGGGGTCGAACCCGCGTGCAAAGCAATCGCCCTCCCCGCCGTGCTTTTGCTCCAGCCCCCCCCCATTTTTTGTTTTGCTTTTTGGGTCCCACCAGGCGATGCACGGGGGTTGCCCCGGCGCTGCTCGGGGGACCCTCTTGGGGTGCAGGGGGTTGAACTGCGTGCAAGGCAATCGCCCTCCCCGCCGTGCTTTTGCTCCAGCCCCCCCCCCATTTTTTTTTTTGCTTTTTGGGTCCCACCAGGCGATGCACGGGGGTTGCCCCGGCGCTGCTCGGGGGACCCTCTTGGGGTGCAGGGGGTCGAACTGCGTGCAAGGCAATCGCCCTCCCCGCCGTGCTATTGCTCCAGCCCCCCCCATTTTTTTTTTTGCTTTTTGGGTCCCACCAGGCGATGCACGGGGGCTGCCCCCGGCGCTGCTCGGGGTCCCTCTTGGGGTGCAGGGGGTCGAACCGCGTGCACGCAACCGCCCTCCCCGCTGGGCTACCGCTCCCGCCCTCCCCTTCCTCCTCCTCCCGCCCCCCGGGTCCAAAGCAGCAACCGGCCTCCGGGGCCCGGAGGGCGGCGCCCGGCGGGCCGGGGAGGGCAAAGGGGGCGGGGGCGCCGCGGGGCTTTTGTGCGAGTGGGCCGGCCCGCCGCGCCCCGTCTTAAGGCGGCCGCGGGCGGCGGGGCGCGGGCGGGCGGACGGCGGCCGGCAGGTAGGGAGACGCGGCGGGGGCGGCCGGGGCGGGGGCGGCCGGGCCGCGGCCCTCGCGCCCCCCCCCGCCCCCCGCCCGGCGCGCGCCCCCCGCCGCCCCTCCCCCCGCGCGGCGCCCGCGGCCTGCCGCGCGGGGGGGACGCGGCCGCGCGCCCCGGCCCGGGCCCTACCTGCCGGGCGCGGCCTCCCGCCGCCGCCCGCGCCGCGCCGGCCGCCCCCGGGCCGCAGCCCCCGGCGCCCAGCCCGCGGCCGCCGCTCGCTGCCCCCGCCGGGACGAGGCAAGTTTACAAACACCAGCCTGGGCCCGGCTCCCCGGAAGCACTTCCCCCTCCCCCCGGCCCGCCGCCGAGCGGCCGCATCCACTTCCGGGCCGCGCGGCCGGAAGGGGCGGGCCGGCGGCGCGGCGCAGGCGCCCTGGCGCGGCCGAGCCCGCGGCGGCCATCTTGGCTGCGGGCGGGCGGGCGGGCGCGCGCGCGTGGCGCCGGGGGAGGGGGACGCGCCGGTCGCGGCGGCGGGAGGGGGAGCCTCGCGCGGACCCGCGATCCTCGCCCCGGCCCCCGATCTGCAGACCGGGCTGGCCCCGGCGTCGGGGCAGGGCCGCGGCCGCCGGTCGCCGTCGCGGCGGGACCCCCGGCCGCGCCGCTTACCTGCTGGCCCTGCACCCCGGGGCCCCGCGCCCCGCGCTCCGGCCTCGCCCGCCCTGGAGGCGGTGGTCGGCGCCCGGGGGCCGGGGTGGGGGCGTGGGGGTCCGGCGCCTGGGCCCCGGCCGCGTCGGAAATGGAAAATGGAAACTGAGTCTCCAGCCTGGGGCTCCGGGGTTTCGCGGGGAGGGTGGGGTCCTGCCGAGTCCAGCTGCGCTATGCAAAGTGCAGGTGGTGGAAGGGGGCGCGACTCCGTCCGTCTGTCCGTCCGTCCGTCCGTCCGGGCCCCGCAGCCCAGCGGCTGCTCCCGGGGTGCGCTTAGCAGGAGGAGGAGGAGGAGGATGGTCCAAAGGGGGCAAGTACGAAGGGAAAAGGAATCGTCAGCGCCGTAGGCACTTCGTGTTGCTTTTCCCTTTGGTCTTTTTTGGACGACCCCCGGCAGTGCCCAGGGCACCAGGTGGGCAGCCCGGGATCGAACCTGGGTCGTTGGACCCCACGATTTTTTTCATTCCTTGTGCCCCCCCACGTTTGGGGCCATTGGCAGAACGGCTGTAAAAGCGAGGGAGAAGCCGTCCGAGATTCTGAGTCTGCCCGGGAGGGGGAGGGTTAGGGCCACACGTGCCCCACCCCCCACATTTGGGCAGGTGGCTCAGGGAGCGCCCAGGTCTTGCGTGTGAGCGTCCCTGGGTTTGGGCCAGAAGTGTTTTAACAAATCAGCAGCCGGCCATAAAAAATGTCATACCATCAGTAGCTTCATTCACAATCATTAAAAAAAAAAATACAGGGGGCTGGAGTGATAGCACAGCCGGTGGGGTGTTTGCCTTGCACACGGCTGACCCGGGTTTGATTCCCAGCATCCCATAGGGTCCCTCCCGAGCACCTCCAGGAGTCATTCCTGAGTGCATGAGCCAGGAGGAACCCCTGTGCAATGCTGGGTGCGACCCAAAAAGAAAAAAAATACAGTCCTAGAAATGAATTTGTAGGGGGTTTGTTTTATTTTGGGACCTCACCTGGCTGTGTTCTGGGCCTAATCCTGACTCTGTGCTCAGGAATTACTCCTGGAAGTGCTTAGGGGACCCTGTGTACCGCCAGCCATCCGGACATCGCTGACTTCATGCTTGCCAAGTGCCTTAAGCCCTTTACTATCACCGAGGCCCATCTAGAAGTAAAGTTAATAAGTAACTAAATTATGTATTAAGAAAATCATCCTGGGGCTGGAGCAATAGCACAGCGGGTAGGGCATTTGCCTTGCACGCAGCCGACCCGGGTTCAATCCACGGCATCCCATATGGTCCCCCAGCACCGCCAGGAGTAATAGTAATTCCTGAGTGCAGAGCCAGGAGTTACCCCTGAGCATCCCAATTATCCTGTTTTAGTAAAAGACAGAAAGGGCCTTGAACCAGATAGATAATACAGGGGATAACTGTCTTGCATTTGAGGACCCTGAGTACTGCTATGTGACCTCTCCCCTATCCCTCAAAAAAAAAAAAAACCCAAACCCCAGAAGGGAGCTTAGAGATACAGCACAAAGGTTAAAGTGCTTGCTTGGCATTTGGCTATGGCCTTGGCCCTTGTTGGAATGCTGGCCCTGAATGTCCTCTCAGAGTGTCCCCTGAGCACTGCGGGATGTGCCCCACCCCCATAAAAAGTTGGGGAATTTTTGCCTTGCACGTGGCCAACCCAGGCTGACCCAGGTTCGATTCCTCCGCCCCCTCTCTGAGAGCCCAGCAAGCTACCGAGAGTATCTCGCCTGCACAGCAAAGCCTGGCAAACTACCTGTGACGTATTCGATATGCCAAACACAGTAACAACAGAGTCTCCAATGAAGATGTTACTGGGCCCGCTCGAGCAAATCGATGAACAACGGGAGAGCAGTGACAGTGACAATCCTCATGAATTACAAAGTTATGTGTGGTCGGGTTTCAAGTGTATGATGTTCTAACACCTGTTCCTTCACCAGTGTACATTTCTCATCACCAGTGTCCCCAGTTTTCTTCCCGTCACCCCCACCTCAGCCTGCCTCCATGGTAGATACTTTTCTTCTCTGTCTGTCTGTCTGTGCCTTTCTTTGCAGAGTTTCTTGAATGGAGACTTTTACCATGTCATGACTAGGAAGGCAATATTGTATAGGTGTACATTTTTGCTATGGTTAAAATCTAGTTCCAATGGAATTTGCATTTAACTTAAACTAAGATTTTATAGATTTTGTTCAACGGCTGCTTCTCTGGTTGAGGAGTTCAGTCTTTATTTATTTATTTTGCTTTTTGGGTCACACCCAGCGATGCACAGGGGTTACTCCTGGCTCTGCACTCAGAAATCACTCCTGGCAGTGCTCAGGGGACCCTATGGGATGCTGGGAATCGAACCTGGGTCGGCTGCGTGCAAGGCAAACGCTCTACCTGCTGTGCTATCTCTCCAGCCCCAAGGAGTTCAGTCTTTAACATGGAAAGAAAAAGTTTCAAGGAGAACAAAAAATTATTTTGGAAAATATCACGATCACGATCATCCTGTTGATCGTCGATTGTCTCGAGCAGGCACCAGTAACGTCTCCTCCTACCTAGCCCTGAGATTTTAAAAGAGCCATTTCAATGCTCTTTCAGGATTAGGAGGATGAGACCCATCATTGTTACTGGTATTCCGGGAGCTGGGTTTTATAGCCTCTGCATCTTGACCGTTGATGGGACCAACCTGGCGCTGGCGGCAGCTGGTGCGTGTGACGCCTACCTACTGGAAGATGGGGGGTCTGGGTGGAGAGGGCCCAGTCCCAATCCGAGTAGGCTTGGAGATCTCAGCCCTGGGACCCGCATGCCTGGGTTCCTCTGCCAGATCTTTCATGCATGGGGCCCGTCCAGATGTGTGGA